AATTATAATTAAATCTGTTAAGTGATGCTGATTTGAGAAGGGCACATGCAGGATGCAGGTGTTTCGGCCAAAAGAACCGGTCAGTATAAATGATTATTTGCAGAGTGATTAAGTTAACCTTTCATTTATTTCATTTATCATTGATGAATAGATGTGTCCTCTATTCACTGTCGCTGCAGTTCTCTGTTACAATCTTTAAAAGAGCTTCTTTGTTATGTTTATAGTTTCTTTCTCCTGTCCTGAACAATCAAGGTAAATACACACCAACAAATAAATAAAAGAAATATTCATTCAAACCGAATTTTCACAAAAACGTCTACATTTTATAATATTCTGTATAGTATGAAAATAGAGGTTGACACAATCCACAACCAGAAAACGATTCCTGTTGTCTGAAGTAGTGTTTTTCTCGCCCCTATACTTTGTGTGTAAGTGTTTGTGGAGCGTTTATGCTGATGGAATTGTATGGCTGCAGCCGCAGTGCTCCAAAGTAAGATTGTATTCTCCGTGGGAGTCCGAACAAAGAGCTCTAGATCAGCAGTGCTTTGGTGAATATCTTGTAACCATTAAGACTGCAGAGAACAAAATGGTCTTTTGATGGGAACAAAAAGATTGAATAAAAATTGTCATTTTACAGAGATAGTATTGCATATCCAAGTTTTGGAAAGGAGACAAGCCTGTGCTACAAAGCAAAGCGTTTGTCATGGAAATAAGGTGGATTATAGTCTTTAAGGTCTGAGATCAGTGGCAAAATATAGGATAGTGTTTATTGTGGTTAGATTGAATGAAAGGCAGATGAAAACATGTGTATAAAATAACATTAGGTCTTCTTTGCTTGGTAGATTTAGCATTAACCACTGATTTTAATCACACAAAGATATTTCATGATGCAGACCAACATTTACAGTTCTCATACTCTCCTCTGCACAACAACAGGCTGTTTTCAGCTCACTGTTTTCTAAGTGAAACCATACATATCCTCTGGAGAGCACAATGAGAGCTTGAGACAAAACAGTTTTTACATTCTTCTTGGAGTGGTGGTGGTGGTGTTGGCCAACCTAAACCCGACACAGAAGATTATTCATCTGCTGCAGTTTTGAGGCGCGGGGATTGACGAGTTGTTCCCAGTGGTCTGGGTCCTTGAGTATTTTGTTTTTCATAAAGTGACAATAAATCTTCTCAGAGCAAGTAATAAAGTTATTTAGGATCAAACAGATGTTGTATAGGCACAAAACACCATATCAAAGCTTTGTGTTTAATGAATGAATTATGAACTCATTGGGTGTCCTTTCTGTCCAGACACCATGAAGCACATCTCAAAGTATTCACGCAAACATGTGAACCAATATGTGTACACAAACCATACAAAGTGACATAGGTGGATCGTTAAAGAACCAAAACAAGTATAACCTCTAATAATGAAAACAAGTCCAGAAATTTGACCGATTCTCTGTTGGCACAAATGTTCTGTCAGCTCCATCAATCAGGCGGTGCCACTCTGCCCGAAGGCAAACCACAGTGGCATCAAACCGAGAAGGCCACAGAGTGCCAAGCTCGCTATTAAACACACACCCATGCAAAACAGACCACGGCCTGCTGCTGTAAATCACATGCTCACCAAAGACCTTTGAAGACTTTTTAAATAAGTAATGTGTGAGTTATAACAAATAAACATATAAATAACTACGCCATTTTATAGAGCAGTTACAAGGCACAAGGGATTGTGTGGAGAAATTCAATGGTCATTGTAAACGCATTGTATCATATCATTACAGTGAGGAAATTATCTCTATTCTGGATGACAATAAAAGTGATGCCATGTAGTAATTATTGCTATTGTGTGACTCCAATGTCTGACACATGCACTGTATTGTACAAAGAACAGACATTAAATCAATATAGAATCAGCATTTGACTAAAATAACACTTCATGTTCAGTTTGTGTAACAATTTCCGCTCACTTGTGTTATACTTTCATGACACAACTATAAGTTATACTTTTTTATTTCTCAGGGACAGTGTATATTATAAAGATTAAATATCCCAGCATTAGCCAGTCTCGTTTTCATCCATATTCCTTGTATGGTGTGAAGTTGGCAGCCTAGAATGACTCTTAAATACAGAAACGAGTGTGGAACTGAAACAGCATATCAGATCTCATTAATGGATAACTCTGTTACAATTAATGTCTTAATTTATAATGTTGCATACAGAAGTACTCATCTTTCTATCCCCTACATACACATTGGCCACTTATGAATACTGTATACTGCACTGTACAATCGTATCCAAATAAATACAACAGCTCTGTCATAAGTTATTCCTCGGTTTCAGTTTTAATTTATGTCAGAAATATAGTATATCAAAAATGTTACCTTTGTCACTGGGTTAAAGGTATAATGCACTACATAATAATGTTAGCGTTTTCATGTTGCATGTTTATATACATGAAGGGAGCACAATATTTTGTAACACCTCTCAATATAATCTAGTCCAGTACCACAATGCTGCTATGTGGCAACAATACAAAAAAGGCATTATAAAAGTAGTGGATTATAGATCCATATTGATATACTTTCACATCTCGTAACTTTACAATAAAAGCTATTTGTTTTTCTAATTATATTTGTTAAACATTGTTGTCTTTGTTTAGTTTTGTGTCGAAAGAGCTACTGAAAACTGGAATCATATGTCTTGTATGTGTCAAAAAAGTTGACATGAAATTCTGATAGTAAATGGGAAATGCATCAATATGGTAAAAGTATGTTGAGCTCCCAAATGAATTATAAACGTTTTTCTTGCAACCCTTTAGAGTCAAATTCTCAATCCCCCAGACAAAGAACAGTGATGGTTTCTGTCTAAGCTGCCTCAGAGTTATAGTCGATAACACACATTTGATATTCCATCCACATTTCTCCGTGCCGCACCAGTTTCAATTCTCCCTCTTAGGTCTATTTACAGTGTCCCAGAAGGTGCCTCCAGCAGGGCAGTTTCTCTCCGTGGGGTCACTCTTCTTGGACTGGCCTCCATGAAAACAACTGTCAATATGTTAATATGAAACACTCAGGGCCATTGTGGTCTCTCTCTGTTACTCCTTTCACATTTCTGACCTTTGTCACAATAAAAATGTCCACTCTCAGAAGAAAGTGATAAGTGTTGTAACATTAATAATCAATTTCTTCTGTTGAATTTGAAAAAAGAAAGAAATATTAATGCATTTTATCCACAACAATACTAAAGGAAAGCTTAGTCTCTGCAGCAAGAAGGTCTTTAATGTCCATATTTACAGTTGTAGGTATTACACTAAATCCTTATAGATGTGCTGAAACTCCCACTGAGTGATTGCTCCACATACTTTACAGATTCCTTGCATGAAGTGAAGTCGAGGTGTTCAATGAAATTACTTTTTTTTGCAGCCCGAGCTGGGGACAACACTCACAGGTCTGAAGACAAACATCATGGCAGTTATATGTCTCGTCTAGGACGCTGCATCCACCAGGGTGTTGCATTTGAGCTGCCTTTAGGATATTTGACTTTTTCCTTTAACTTGGAGGTCTTTGTAGAAATTGTTGATACGTTTCCAAGGACTTCAGGAGTAAGACAGACACAGCTGCAAGGTTTTTCTAAAGCTGTTTCCATTGGCCTGTGTTTACCTGACACTTGGATTGACAGCAGAGTGATTGGAAATATCCACCATTCACTGCAGTGAGCTCCTGAGTGCACGGAAAGTGCTTTTGTAGTCGGGCTGTAATGGGCCAAGTTTGAATTGAAGGTTGAGAGAAATAGCCTCACTGCGGTCGCGCACTGTGAGGAACTGACACACCACAAATAATACTCAGAAGTGGGGTCCTGATAGCATCACAGGCACGGAGCAGGTACAATAGCATGCAGCCTCTCATTTCAATGCACTTTCACAATGTTGCACTGTGCACAATCAGATGAAGGGGAAGAAATCCGATCAAATACAAACTCAGATTGTGTCTCGATTGTGTTCCTTTTTGTCCAAAGCAATCAACAAGCTCTTCAAACTCAACTGCTGATCACTTTCTTATTCACAGGTAAGAAAGTGCCACTGTTAGATTGCAGAGACACAAGAGCAAACCTGCCTTGGAAAATGTCATAATGTATTGAGTCAGAATGTGCCTTAGAACAAATAAATATGTTTTGTTAAAAATACAATACACTGGTCTAATATGCCATAACTTGACAAGTTATCATAAACTGTTTCTTTGTCAATGTCATTGTTTTGTTTGTCGACCTGACTCATAATGTAAAGCGTCTTTGGGTCTAGAAAAGCGCTATATAAATCCCATTTATTATTATTGTACAATTATGTTTCCTTCATATATTTCCTTCATCAGTTACATGCATTAAGTTACAGCAGGCCATCAACCTGTTAAACCCCGAGCCTGTTTTTCAGGTTTCAGGCTCGAAAATGACATTCCCAGAACAAATGACCATATCTTCCCTTCTAAAAGGGTTAAATTAATAATCTTTTTTCTCAAAGTAATGATAAACCTGTGAGTTGGATGTAGAAAAGTCAGAATAAATATAGATGTTTTTTATTTTAAAGAAAATTCAGATTGAACATGGTAAAAAACTGTAAATTATAGTGTCCGTCCAAAGAATATTTTGTACTTATAGTGAAAACTAACCTTGGATGATGGGTTAGTAGACTAAAAGCTTTAGGAATCCAAAGTACAACATATAATAAGTACCCTGTATCAAGATTGATGCAAAACAAGTGATATTTGACCTTTTTAGACAGATTTAGCCAAAAGAAAACCTCTTCTGGGGCCATTTGGGTGGATTTTCCATATCTCTGGCCCCCCTTGCTGGATTTTGACATGTGACATATCTTTCTAACCGTCAGACCCAATGGAATCGAGGGGAACTCCCACATAGTCCTTATTTGGTAATGTGTGTGTGTTAGACTCAGACTGCCGCATAGCCAAGACCGGTAGTAGCAGCCACTCTGGTGGCTACCATTAGCAGCTAACTTTTGCTCTGCGATTTTTACATAAAAATGGAATTATGGATTATAAATTAAATATTTTTTTTATACAAAGACGTTAAAAACCTATGGAGTAACCGATTCAGCCGCGTTTTTTCTCGTTTTAATGCCATTGAACACGTCTTTTGATCAGATTGACAGCTACGGTGAGACAATCTCCCTAGAAGCTCCGTAAAGATACGTGTTGTGATGTCTGTGTTTGCCTCCCCTGTCGCGAGTTCGGATCACTCAGTGATGATACTATATACCTAAATAATCTGTGGAACCTCAGCTTTAATCGGATATCTTGTATGTGCAGCTACAATAACTTAAGTAATAAGGGTACTTTTATCTTGAGTTCTGTGCCAATGTCCGTTAGCATTCTTCGCTAAGGGGTCATTTAGATGCTTCTTATGAGACTTGTGTTTTGTTTTGGTAAAAATGGTTTGTATCGTAAATTAGCTGAGATTATTTCCGTTAATCTGTTATAACACATTAATAGGTTCTTAAATATTAAGATCCCCTGAGACACAGTGTCATGAAAAAAAAAAACAGGGTCCCCGCCGGCAGGGACCTCGGGGTTTAACAGTTAAAGCAACAGCAGTCCAATGCCTTGCCTTATGTTACCCTACATATTGTAATTGTTAGTACACTAACTCTCCACCATGCAGTACATATTGTAGATTTTTTAAATTGTGAAAAGAGAGTAGGCTACTTGTAATCTGTGTGAATCTTTGCTGTCCTGTTTTTTCACGCTTACCCTGTTGCTGCTTTGTACAACTGAATTTCCCCTCTGGGATTAATAAAGGTTCATCTTATCTTATTTTATTGGATCTCTATGTATTGAAATCAGTTAGAAGAGACCATTTTAATCTGTGGAACCTTTAAAAAATCAATACCGCAATCCTTTCAAAAGTGCATTTTGAATTGGAATATGTTCTCTAGTGCATAAAGTAGTGGGTTTATATTCTGAGTTTGAATGATGATGCCAGAGGTGGGTTGACCTAGTAACCGTCAGATTGCTGTTTCCTGACAAAAGTTGTGATGTAACAAGCTGGCCGGCAATTTAATATACTTGCTATTGATCCTTGGCTTTTAATTAGAGTTAAAGTGGGCAATACACTACTTCATAAAATCCCCCTATAGTGTTTATGAGTAGTGTAATTGTTAGAGACGCTATCTGAGTCAAAAACTGGATCACTTTAGTTTTCTTCATGGCCTACAGGCACCAGTTACTTTAGTTGTTCCACTGTCCGCCGTAACTCCATTGAAGTTAATTGATACTCGGAAACTAGGGATGACGTTACTAATAGTTTGGTTTTCTGATGTTCGAAGCACTTCATTTGTGTCAAAAATCAAGCTTACATTTCCCCAGGGGATCAAACACGTGGCAGACAGAATTGCATAGTGAAAGCGGGGCTTATAGGGAGCCATGGTAAATGCTGATAATGTTATTTTTCAATTGCCATTATATTGTGAATTAACATTACTTTACAACAAGTTTAAGAGAAACACATATATTTTGGCACTTTTAATGCAGTATATGTATCAAACGTATTCTGCACTATTTGGACCAATATGTATATAACCTATTTGTACTGCAAATGCGATATTTTGCACTTTTTTACAGACTAGTTTATGAAAGTAGATGTCTCACTTTAAATTGTATTCATTTTTAACAAAAACGAAAGTAAACCATGTAACTACAATTCTCACTACCATCATACTACTGTAAAACTGAACATGCATAATAAACAGGAAAAGAATACAACAAAGGATGATTGGCATGGCGACTGACAAATAACAACACGGTGTGCAAATCGAATAGCCAATCACCTTTAAGAAGGAGGGCGGGATTTCCGGTCTGTGACGCAAAGACTCCCAGTCAACACTGGAGGCCCCACCCTTTGTGTTACCTACCGCCCGTCAATCAAAATATAAAAAAATTGACAGTTTATCACCTATTTTTACGCGTATACAATCTTTTGAATGTGCTGATAATGTCCGGTGGCTTGTGACTATCAAGATTCTTCGTTTCACGACAAGTCACGCAATGACTGGTATGTTATATTTATCTTATTCTTCACCACGTAAGCTAACAAGCTACCACAGGCATCCTATGGCTAAATTAGCTTGCTAGCAGGCTAACAGGGATGCTTGATGGTGATATTGCTAATCACCGCCGGCTAACTTAGCATTGGTGGCTAACGCTGCTTAGCTTAGCTAACCTTGTTAGCTACTTTAGGACAAATCAGTAGTGAGCTCTCCTTAAACTAATTACTGCTACATGCCTACATCGCTGTTTTCTCCACAGGGTTGATGCTTGTTTTAACGGTGGTTGTGAGTATTGTTTACTTGCGTTACTATAACGTAACGGATGTAAGCTTACGTTAGCCGTTGAGTTATGTGAGTATCAGGCTTGTTAAGCTAATGTTTGCTACGGCTGTTTCCACTCTGAGCTTTTTGCTTTTTAATACACAGCCCCAGAAAAGCCGATTAAATCAGAAGATATGGCTGACGTGGACAGCAGTCAAATGGACTTTCTGCAGCAGGTACAAGGCAGGGGTAACCAGGTAAGGTTTCCCTCACGGGATTATGACTCGTTGTACTGCGTTGCTGTGGTGCTAACCGAAGTTCACACATTTCAAACTTGGAGGGGGGTATTGCACCCTCATTTAAACCTCTCAGGCTACACTTCCTCTAAGGCAGTTTACAGATCCCGCCTCCTTAGCCAGGAAGTAAGAGACAGGCTGTAAACTCCAGTCAGACATGAACACATTACCTGTGTGCTATCATACGGTGCTGCCTAGGGGGCTAAACAGTAATTGTACCTCCTTACTTCAGACTTTGCTTTTTGGCAATAAGTCATAGTTTATTTATGGCCTAGACTAATGATCATACACATCTTCCTTTTAAATGTGCCTGTTGTTGGAAGGACACTCAGCCATCATCACCCCTCGACCTGCTAGCAACCACCTGCACTAAGGTTGGGTCACCGTCTTCAGAGGTGGACAGAGGTGCTGCAGCTGAAGTGGTAAGTCAGCACCTCTGCTGGACACAGCAGAAGGGAAGTCACAGCTAAGCCACATTTGAGTTCGGATTTGCTTTTAATAAATGTATAGCCTCTGTATTTTGGCATCAAACAGAAGGATATCTAATTGCTCTAATGTTTTTGGTTTAAATACTGAGACAAACTCGGTAGGGGCACCAATATCCTTGTGGTCATGTGATTACACTGGGGTTCCTATACTGCACATGACATTACATGCGAAAACAGTTGTCACTCAAAGTAAAGTGCTCTAGACTTTCCATATAGCAACTAGCAATTCATTATTGTACATCAAGCTTGATCTCTATTGTGCTATAATAAAAAAATCTTTTTTCTCAGACATCAGATCTCACTGGGACTGGTAGATGGGAGGTCTTAACCCCCACGACAGCAGCAAAGGATGAATCTGGAATGCTACAGATCCAAAGTCAAGGAATATTAACATCGAACGGACAGTATGTTCTTCCTTTTCAGAACTTACAAAGTCAGCCAATCTTTGTGACGTCGGGAACGGACGGCTCCGCCAATTCAGTGCCTAACATTCAGTACCAAGTAATTCCTCAGATTCAGACAGCCGATGGACAGCTGAGCTTCTCCACTTCTGGAGTGGAAGGAGCGACTCTGACTCAGGATGCCACGGGGCAGATTCAGATCATGTCTGATGGCAGTCTCACTGCAAACATCCTTAATAACAACCAGAACCTCATATCACAGACTGGTCATGTCCAGCAGCTCCAGGGGGTTTCTCTTAGCAGCTCCACCTTCAACAACCACGGCCAGGTTGTTACAAATGTGCCTATGAGTTTGCCTGGGAACATTACTTTTGTTCCTATTAACAGTGTGGACTTGGACTCCCTCGGCCTCTCTGGTGCTCAGACTATAGCAACAGGGATCACTGCCGACGGCCAGCTTATCATGACGAGTCAGCCTATGGACGGCTCAGAGGGTCTGGAGAAGACAGATAATCACCTCTCACAGACACTACAAGTTAATGACTCAAATGCAAATCACGAGATCTATGTGCCAACGTCTTCCTCTCAGCTACACATTCCAGGGAGCGAATCAGGTCTGCTGACACAAGGCGCTTCATTGTCATCGGGGGTTACACAGCAAACCGATTCGAGTTCTGGTCTCCAGGAGGGCTACATCCAACAGAACCAGGAGCAGAGCATCCAGGTGTCTGCAGCTCAGTCCATCATCCAGCTGCAGCAGGTTCCTATTCAGACCTCCAACGGTCAGATGGTCCAGTCCATGGCCACAGGTGGGCAGAACATGCAAAACGTGCAGCTGATCAACCCAGGAACCTTCATCATCCAGGCCCAGACCGTCACGCCGTCGGGTCAGATTCAGTGGCAGACGTTTCAGGTGCAGGGTGTGCAGAACCTGCAGAACCTCCAGCTGCCCACCACACCGCCCCAGCAGATCACCCTGGCTCCGGTCCAGACTCTGTCCCTGGGATCCAATCAAGTCAGCATCGGACAGGGTCAGATTCCCAACCTGCAGACAGTGACGGTCAACACAATGGCCCAACAAGAAGGAGACACGATAAACGTTGGAGGTATAGTAGTTATTTTTTATGTACCTCGTTTTTATTTTTGTTGCAACAGCGTATTTTACTAACTGGTGCAAAAATAATTTTCCTTTTACATTTTTCGAGCACCCTAAAAAAAGATTCCTTTAATTTTTTTTGCTTAGTAAGATTCAAGATTCAAAGATTTTATTGTCATATGCACATAGCTACAATGTAGAAATGGCAATGACATTCTTCTGACCTGAGCTTCTCCAACAATGCAACATATATAATAAAATATAAAAATTGTGAAAAAGTCTATATACATGTAAATAGAATATGATATGTACGAGAACAGGATATGACATTTTAAATAATGTACATTTAGACAAAATTAAATACGGTTAAATAAGGCGTATATTAGGTGAGTAGAGGCCATTTTGTGGTGATAATTAGACGGTTCAAAGTGCTGTGTAAAATGATATGTAACGTTATAGGGATGTAACTGACAATTATTTACTGTGTTAATTAATCTAACCCTTTTTCTACACTAAATCAGTCAATCAGACTCTTGACACGATGTCTCAGCAGGAAAGGACCATGTGTAAATCACTAAATTAGTTATGGTTGAATTGCATTTAGCTGATCCAGATTCAGGGTCCTGGTATGCTGGCTCTCTGACACTTGAATGCAACTGTAACACCTGTGCGTTCCCTACTATAACTAGTCAAAATACCTGCTGTAAAAAGGTTCTCTAAAATCATACTATTATATTTAATTAAGGAAAACAAACAAAGATCTCATATTTGATCAGCAAAGGCATTTTTTGGTTAATAATGTATCCGAAATTCTCATTATAACATAGTTAGTTTAAATTCTTACCAAAATACTTTGTGTTTATCCTTAAAGCTGAATTTGTTATGTAATTATAGCTTTCAAAACATTGTGATGAAATTATAGCTAAGTCGTTCAAACCATTTTCTGCCATTCATGTGGGTCCACAGGGTACGTTTAATTAATATCAAAAAATGTCATTGATACGTTTTCTGTCAATGCTATCACTGTGCTTAAATATGGAGCATTACTTCTGAAATGTGCCGCCATGCTGTCAGTCAGGGAATATAATAAAGCAGCTCTCAGTGGGAAGGCTATTTGACAAGTGTATCAGCGCTTGATATTAACGTAGACATTAACTCCAGACATTCAGATAAAAGAAGAGCCGGACTCTGGAGAGTGGCAGCTGAGCAGCGACTCCACCCTGAACACCAGCGACCTGTCCCACCTCCACGTACGGCTGGTGGACGACGACGACCAGCTGGGGCAGGAGGGCAAGAGGCTGCGCCGAGTGGCCTGCACCTGCCCCAACTGTAAGGAGGCCGGGGGGAGGTGAGTGAAGTCCACCTATAGGCGGGCTAGTAGGGGAGTAACAGATTACATGTAACGGAATTACGTAATGAAGAAAACAAGAAAAGGTAACTGTATTCCCTTACAGATACATTAATCCAATTACTGTTACATTTCTAGAAATTGGGGATTACTAGAAGGATTACATGTTAGTAAAAAAAACTAAAAGATCATATTGTGCTTGTTATAAAAGGATCAGATTTCTTCTTTGTAGGCTGTACTGTTCTGTAGGCTGATGCTTTAAGTGTTATTTGCTACTGTCTGAATTTGCTTTATGGGTTTCCTTGGTGTGTGTGTGTGTGTGTGTTGTGTGTGTGTGTGTGGTGTGTGTGTGTGTGGGTGTGTGTGTGTGTGTGTGTGGTGTGTGTGTGTGGTGTGTGTGTGGTGTGGTGTGTGTGTGTGTGTGCTGTGTGTGTGTGTGTGTGTGTGTTGTGTGGTGTGTTGTTTGTGTGGGTGGGGGTGGGTGGTGTGTGGGTGGGTGGGTGTGTCACCGACTTTTGTGTAAGCACAGATTTTATTTCTGCTTTTTCAAACTGTAGTATGTGTTTCATAATATCTAATTTGTTATACTTAATATGTTGGTTTCTTCTTTTCTAAGGTTACATTGTTCTCTTGTCAAGTAAAAAAAACAAACATCTTACTGTACTTTCTCTTCCCTTTTATTTATTTGCATTGCACGTGATATGATAATGTAAAAGTAACAGAAAGTAATCAGGTTACAATATTTTGAGGTTACTGATTTCATTAGGTAACTAGTAATTGTTACGGATCACATTTTTAAAGTAACCCTCCCAACCCTACTTAAATGTAATAAAATGTAACTCAGCATATGAAATCAAATCAGGACCTTAACGGCCGGTCCTGTGTTTCTCAGAGGATCAAGCACGGGGAAGAAGAAGCAGCACATCTGCCACATCGCTGGCTGTGGGAAAGTTTACGGGAAGACATCGCACCTGCGAGCCCACCTGCGCTGGCATTCAGGGGAGCGACCTTTCGTCTGCAGCTGGATGTTCTGTGGGAAGAGGTTCACACGCAGCGACGAGCTGCAGAGACACAGGAGGACTCACACAGGTGCCCTTTCTTTGCTCAGTGTTTGCACATCAGTAAAATCAGTAACAATGTGTTAATATTCTGCTCTTCAGAGTTTTAAGTGTTAATGTTAAGATTGAAGGCCATTTTGTTAAAAAAAAACATATGCCGATTTCACAGACTGGGTGGTGCAGAATGGTCTGTTCTGGAGTTGAATCAGCAGTGCCAGTTAACATTTGATTATGTAACAGAACAGTGAAGCTATTTTCTGATCTCTTTTTCCACTGTTTTCCATCAGTTTTTAATTGTATTGAATATTTCCCACCCCATTTCCATGTGTTGTTATTTTGGGAAACAAAGGAACTCGTAGCCTAAATGAAATCCCATCAGATATACCAGCACAACATAATAATATAAAGTGTCTGATGATATTTACTGCTAGGATAGACTTTTGAGAGAGATATGACTGATTTATAAACCTATCATTGGCTCACAGAACGGACTGAAGCAACATTTCATTACGCTGTCAGCTTCAAGATCAGATATCAAGAGTTAGTGTTCACACTTAACTTTGCAAGTTGATATTCAATAGTTCTGGGTTTCTAATTGCAGTCCGTTATACATTATCAATTTGTTCTCAGTGACAGGTTTGTATTAAGCAACCTATAACACAAAAACTATTTAATAAGAAATGAAACTTCCGTGAGGCAATGTCACTTCAATTCACATCAAAAAAGCTAATTGAACTTGCCTGATACTTAAACTTATCTCCTCACCTATAAGACATTTCCTCCAGATAGGAGTTTCACCTGCTCCAAATGTATTCAGCATCTCTTCATCCTCCAAACTGTGTTTTCTCTCTGGCAGGAGAGAAGAAGTTTGTCTGCCCAGAATGTTCCAAGCGTTTCATGCGGAGCGACCACCTGGCGAAGCACATTAAAACTCATCAGAACAAAAAAGCCGTGAACTCTGGCAGCGCTGTGATGGCCTCGATGGAGTCTGCGGGGTCCTCAGACAGTATCATCACCACGGCAGGCGGGACCACCCTCATCCTCACCAACATCCAGCAGGGCTCCAGCGCCGCCCAGGACATCCTGGCCAACGCAGAGATCCCGCTGCAGCTCGTCACCACGGTAGCCGCCAGCGAAGTCATGGAGTGACTTACACTCGGCTGATGAACTTCTGAAACCTCTCTCATACTGTATACTCCTACCTGCATTTCTATTCAAGTTTTGAAGACAAATTATAAATATATATATATATATATTTTACCACAGAAATAGTCAGCCCATGTCCAGCCCCGGTCTTTACTGAGGAGTGGAGGCTAAAAGAAGGTAGAGGTGAAAAAAGACTTTGCGGTAAACACACAAGGAAATGCCTTATTTTGTACTATACTGTGTCGTTGGAAAATGTAGGATGCCATTTTGTTTTGAATCAACATTTTTTGTTTGTGCTTTTCACGAAGAAATTATTGGTAAGTTGAGCAATTTTCTCTTCGCCTTTTTTTTTGATGGTATATTATTATGATGTCCTTGGTAAGCAAGGTTTGTTCCATCCTTTGAGCAAAGACTAAATCTCACAACAGAGCTAATTTTATCCAGCTGAAGTAATGTTATTGCTTACGTCCATGCAAATATATTCATGTTGTTGTTTTTTTTTAATATTATGCATATATTTTTCAGCGTCCTCTTGCTTACAGTCTGTTCGCAAATTAGCGAGCCCTCCTTCCTCCAGTTTTTTGAGAAACTTTTGCTCACATTTGCTACATTTCGCAGGTGAAAATCAAAACAATCAACATTTTGTACTGAAATTCCTTTTAGCATTTACTGTTGTTATGATACACGTTATTTGCTTATTAAATATTTTGACTGAACCATTATTTTATATTTGGTCTTTATAAGGACGATGCATTTATTATTCTTACAGTCCAAAATATTTGAAATGGCTCTACTATATGTCATTTAAATGTGTTTTTGTAAAACTTTTTTGGATAACTTAAAAAAAAAAAAAAGAATTGTAATATGAAGAAGAAAAGCCATTTCTTTTGGTGGTAATTGCCAAATTTTACCACAAACTCAGGGTGACTTGTGACTGTGTGAAACAATAAGAGTAAATCACCCCCGCAGCTTCCAATGCCACGCTAGTGACGTTGATAGGAAATGTTATTTGATGATGGACCAAAAGCTGAGGTGAATTAAGCTGTCACCATGTTACCACTTCTCGTTGAATTCTACCATGTCAGTTTTTACGATAAGGACAACCCCCGGTTCACGTTATAGAAACAGCTTCGCAGAATTCTCGTCGGTATCTTGCTCCATCCTGCAGTGGGATACATGTAGTGTATTCCTGAAAGCGGTACTCTTTTTAACAGCACTATTCTCATCACGTTCATCTTGTTGTTAATCCTTTTTGTATAAAAAAAAATGTTTTGTATACTTCCCAAGAAACTGTCCTTTATATCCACTGTCAGTAAATGTACAACTGTCTTGGTGTTAATACTTATTCTTTAACTGTGTGTTGCATTCACATGTTATTATATGTTTTTTATTTTAACCTATATACCCCCCCCCCCCTTCCAACTGTTTGAATACACAAGGAACAGTGAATTCTGGTGGCATATTTGATCGATTTCTCTTTTCTTTTTGTCAAACATAATGCACGTGATCATTGTTGCTCTCGTGGCCTCTTCAGGAGATTACCCCTTAACAGCGTCTTTATATTGTACTCAAAACTGAAGGTTTGTTCTCAGTCAAAAATCTTCTGTATAAATATGTCAATATAACATCAATATAAACCTTTCTGTTACACTTGAATTTCATTTTTGAGTTATTTTCTTTTTGTATTACTTTCTAAAAATGTCTTGTTTTTCCCGAAAGCAGCTTGATATTTCAAACTAAATGTAAGTCAAGTTTGAATTTCTCTTATACTTGAAACCTTTTTGTTTTGTCTTGGAAGACTTGTCGTCCAGGCAGGTGGTTGTTCTGCCCCACGGCTCACACTCAGGGTTAGTAGTCCAGTAGATGTCACTGCAGCCAAGGGAGCAGGAGGAGAGGTATGTTTGACCCCTTGACCTTCCCCATGTAGCGCTGCTAGGATAAAGACACAAGTCACTGAGGCCAACAGGAGGTGTTGACCCTCAATTAACCACGAGTTAATGTCACACAGAAATGTCAGGATCATATTCTGCTGTTAGAAAACAAAGTACGGCTCATGACTTTGAACAAACGCTACAGTCGTATGAGAGGTAACGCCTTTTCAGAATCATGTATATCTGAGTGAATTATCTGGAAAGACATTTAAATAACATGCTTTTTTTAATTCTGAATTTAAAGACACAGTTTTCTCTCAATATAATTTGCCAAAAGTGGAGATTTTTTCTTAATATTCTGATATATGAATCTAATATTAACTCCCTGCATATCTATCTGTGCCTCTCACAGAAATGGGGCATTAACTAATTAGGTACTGTTGCTATTTTTTCTTTAATTTTAAAGACATTGGCTTAAGGGAGTTAAAAATGTATAATAGCCTACCTGGTTTCAGTGTCTGTGAACATAATTAAAATGGTATTCTATGAAAAGCTTTATCTGGTAAATCAGAGAGAGAGAGAGAGAGGCACATGCTTTTTGAGTCTTAGTCAATTTGAGTCAGAAAATGTGGTCTATAACATTTAACAGGACTCATCCGTTTTGTCGTTCCTTTCATTTGCATAATGTAATGAATCCAATTCATTGTAATGCAATACCTAGTGCACCAGGAACACAGAATGACAGTCTGAGTTAATGAAATGTGTTAACGGTATCATCATTTACTTGTATGTTAATTAGTCCAATTAATTTCCCCTGCTCGGTAATCTGAATATTGTAATAATCTTTGCTCCCCTGCAGGAATGGATCTGTGAGACGCAGACCTCTGGGACGACCCGCGTGGAGAATCCTGGATTTCCCGGTTGAAATGTGCGGCAGACATGGAAAAAAACGTGAGTGCCTTGAAAGATTTCTTACTTTGAGATTCAGGAATTTGTCTGCAATATTTTCCGGCGGATTTCCACTCTGTGCTTGAATATTGTTTACCAGAGGTTGTGCATGGCCTGCCTTCAGCTTTTATGATGCAAATCACACCGACAGTTGGAAATGTTTTGAGAAACGGAGGGCGATTGTCCGGTGCAAGAGCCAGGATAACTTTTGTCTTTCTTGACAAGGTATCATTGCATTGTAACAGGAAGAGGCTTGGCTCTTCTGGCGGCTGTAGATAAAAGCCTCCATCAGTGAGCAATCCTCCCCGGCAGGTTAAAGGAAGAGAAATCGGGCGGCTGCTGAGCGTGTCCACACCGTCGTGAAAAACTGACCAGCTGGGTTTGAGGCCAACTCTGTCAACAAACTATTGTAGCTCTCCTACAAACTTAGATTCGGATGTCAACGTTCATTTGTAAAATAATGAGCTGAGATTTCAACAGTTGTTGACGCCCAGTAAACGAACATAGAGAGTTATTGTCTTTATATACTATAAAGAAAACACGCAGATGCAGGAGTAAAGCTTCTTGGGGTAAGTGTGTGTTCACTGCACACTTAGTTAGGATTGAAACACAATTCAACATGAGTCTTATTTTTGAGAATAAAAGGAAAGCTCTTTCAGTAAAGCACCTTCCGCATTGTGTTTTTGTGATAGAAAAACACTACAAGTTGTTTGTGTGTTTTTATTGCAGCAAACAGCTTTTGGTTCTTCGAGCTTGAATAGCGGGGGAAATTGTTCATGGTGCTCAACTTCTCTTCCAATTCATGTGCAAAATGCATAAATGCAATAAGTATGCAGAGGGAGAGAAACACTGTAATCATGCAATAACATTTCCAACTGTATGTGTGATAGAATTCAAAATGCTATTGGGATTATGGTTCTTAAGCATTGGGAGGTAATGCGAACCGTCGGCAGAAATGACTTCTTTCATTATACTATCCAAAATATCCAAAATACTTCAGCGAGAGAGCTGCTTCTTCCCTCTCCTTCTGCCCAATTTGAACTGTTTTCCACAGGGAAGGAGAGGCCTGCAATTTGTCTCTGACTATTATTTGCCTTTTCTCAAGGAATCAACAACTTCAAAGTACAGTGCATTGAATTGTTGGGAAATTTGAAGCTGCATTCATTCACAATGTCTCTTCTGAAAAACACAACATTTAGAGCATTGAGCCTTTATTCCAATTTCATATGAACTGAATGTCTCTTCATAAATAGAAAGCACTCACCATCCTGCTTAATATTTTGTTTACAGCGGGGTACTAATGGTGTTTATCTCTTAAAACTATTAGGACGTTTGAAACGACATAAAGAAGAAGTGTGCCACGTTTCTACATTCGTGGCACATTCTTGCCCTTCATCAACTGTAAAAGGCAGACAATAGCACAGATCATTTTCCCCAGGCTTGGAAACTCAGCATGGATCAACTCAATAACCTGATATTCCCTTTCTACTGAGTGTGGCCAATTTAACAGAAGGTCAGCGCCTTTTTCTTTTTATTCCAGAGACAATTTGGTGACCTCCCTCTGGAGCCCCAGCAGGACAAACAGAATCGTGGAGGTAGAAAGTGCTCGTGTTGACATTGCGTTTCGCTGTGGACTTCTCAAGGTGAACAGATACCTGGTGAGGGACAGGGAGGCTATTATGCAAACCTGAGCCACGGCGAGAAGTCACAGGCTTGTGGATTTAGTTTTTCATATATTTTTGGCAATTATCGACGGTGCCCGGGTGTATGTTTAAATTTAAAGATGTCCACTGGGTATAAAAGTATGGTGTCCCTGCGTCGGTGTGCCTGCAAATCATCCTCAATCATCCTTTTCTATGCAGAGGTGCCATTCAAGGCTTCAAATTAAACACTCTTGTGTCAGGAAAATTACGGTCTGATTCGGATCTATTTCAGGAGGGTGGAATTCAGATTCTTTATTGTAAAATGTCTCTCCCGGTGGTTTGCATTTACTGTATGTACGTTTTTTCCCCTGATCCAACTGTGAAAATTGAATCGAAAACAATGAGACACCTCCATCAAATTTCCCACATTATGTTCTTTGTACTCAAACACAGCATGTGTCTGTTTTTTTAGTGAGGAGACAATTTCATGAGACGATGTTGAGATACATGAGAAGATTAGGAGGGATCATATTTAGCAACTCCTCACAGCTGTCGTATAGTTTTCCCATTGTATGAAATAACTCTGTCTTTATTGTGCACCTCAAGGTCAAATGTGACAACGGCTTCAACTTCCTCAGACTGGAGTCGAGGATAAACTGCAAGCGTTTGCTCAATATTCTCTCTGGGTGACAAGAGCTGGCCTTCAGTGTTACTCAGCCCATTGCAAACGATTTCAGATGTGGAAAGAGACGTTTTGTATCTGAAAATGTACATTAAATGGTGTCAACAACATGGTGGAGGTCAGAGAAGAGTCCCCATGGAGACTGAATCTGGCCGCTGCGCTCGGAGGCTCGACACCCCCCTGAGTGGCGGCTCCGTGATGGCTCTCAGTTTCTCTCGTCATGTCCCTGGCAGCTTTGACACAGGTAATATGCATGCTGGCTGACAGTGGCTGGGATGTGCGGCAGAGACAATGATGTACATATCATTTTCCTCCCTGACTGATTGAAGACTGTAATCTGTGCTGGACTTTCTCTCTGATTACACACGTCTCAGGGAGCAAAACAAGGACTCTGAGCTGCCACTGGGCACTGGACTCATCCAGGGCTTTCAGCCTTCAAGAGGACTGAAGTCCGCCTTTAAGGTGAGCTCAATTTTCGTCCCATTTACACTATTGTTACAAGTGTCGGACGGAATGCATCTGGTAGATAGTGGTCAAACTGTGGCTGTCTGAAGATGACACCGGAACAGAGATGTATCCGACACCCAAGGTCATCCTATTCCAATCTCAGCACTGCCGCAAATGTTTAGAGCTCCTGTGAAGGCACGAAGAGAGAAACAATATCATGCATTTTACATTCAGCGCCGTTGTGCTCTGCGCTCTCAAAATACAAAGTGTCTCCCATGCCAGGACGAACCTGTCCAACAAGAGCAACCATGATGTGAAGACAGAGAATCGATTGCTATAATACTCTAGTGTTCTCTGTAAAAACAAAGTGCGCCACATAAAACAAACTAGTATGTATTTTCCAAACAGATATTCATCAGACCCCTAACCTGCCTGTGTAACCTTGTGAGGTACACTTGTGTCTTTATGTAAAATGTAAGAGGCTTCTCTGTTGACAGTAGGTCAATCCTTTACAGAAGTTACCTAGCACATTACAAGGTTGGTCTCGGGGGAGAAGTAATGGGTTCTGGGCAATTGACCAACCTGCCATGCTTTACTGCACCTGCACTGAGTTAGAGCTGTCATCATTACCACTTCCTCTAACGTTCCCCCACAGCAACCCAGACACTCCCACTTAGAGCGATATTTCACTTTGGTGGAACATTTTCACTTTTTATCATGCATCCCTCCGTACACGAGCGGAGGCAGTCGAGCTGTTAGATTTGAAGCAGTAAGGTAACCTCTAACAGGCCTTTGGGGTACTAAAACATAACGTTTCCAAAATAGCTCCCCGTCACACGGCTATAATTCTGATTTAAACTTTTCAGATTGAGAGCCATGCTTGCCAAAGAGAAGAAATCTCGAAGATAAAAGGTGTCTGGGCAAATTGTCTCCATGTCAAAATATGAAGAATATGAGGTCAGTCATTTGAATGGCATTTATCCTCTATTTTAGATTAGTTATTCAAAATGATTGCAAAATTGTACTGTCTGAAAATAATCAGTAGGCAGTTCTTA